AGCATGCATAGGCATGACACTGGAATGAGAATTTCAGTCACATAAAGTTTTTGTGCACAGAAAAATTAGATCTTTGGCCCTTTACTAAAGACTTGGAAAAAACAAGATGCTGACACTGTAAAAGTTTGCTATCAATCGTGTACTTTTTGTATGTTTTTTATATACATGTATATTTAATGAGCACAAGCTGGTTGTATTTTTTACAATTCAGTTAATAGGAAAAAATGTGTTGTCGAAATGCTATAGTTGGAACAGAGCAGAAGCATGAACATTAGGTTATTTTGTGGTAAAAGGGGAAGGTATTTAAGCTAAAGCTTCGGGTCTCTTAGAATATTCCACAGTCATGCTTCTAGGTTTCCTGTAGTATTAGGAACTTTTAATACCAGATAGATTCTGTTTTTACTTTACATCAGAACTTGCTTTCATTTCATTTTGGAGGGGAGCTGAGGATCCAGGGCTTCAAACATTTTAGGACACCTTCAGCCTGAATTATAGTTTGAGCAAAGGTTGTACAGTGTTTGCAGTTCCAATTGGAAAATTTTAAAGTTCCCCAACTAGTGAAGTAGGTTAACTATTGGGACAAGTTAACTATTATTACTAGTTACATTATCTCACCATTTGACAGGCAACTTTCACATTTCCAGCTTCTCAATTGAAAGTGTGAAATACACTTAAAAACTTAGTGACTTCCTAAATAAGAGGAAATGACGTTTTCAGAGACTGAATTGTTCTTGGAGGGAGACCACCCCCCCCCACTTGTTGCTTTTCATTTACAAGTCCTCAGTTCCATTCCAATTGAGGGCTTGTGAATCACATTTCCCTCATTTGAGAGTCAGTCTGTTGCAGCAAACAGTGAGGGAGACTGAATAGAGTTATTTTTGTTTGTGCAAATTATTTTCTATATTTAACTCTTAAGCATTAATGTATAACTGGATATTTTAAGGTGCATGTTATTGTAAGAGCAACAGTGGTGATTTTGAGGTCTTTCTCTGAATATAAATGAATGGCACATTTTGAATTTCAAGTCTTAAAAGTGCCTAAAAATGATTGATTCTCAAATGATTCTTTTGAGCCATGTTTCCTACTTTAAACGTTGGTTGTGCAATCACTAGTCTTCCTTTGAAATGCTCCCAGATTTCTAAATGGCATGATTACTCTATTGAAGACAATAGAATCTGTTAACATAAAGACTGAAGACATTTTAGTTGTGAAAGTGTGTGAACCAGGGCTTTGCCCTGTTGGATCGAAGTATTTCAGTGTACAACTTGGTCAACACCATATTGCTGCTGTTTCAAAGCCTTCCACCAAACGAGTTTTTATATTTCAGTGTCGCCGAGACAGAAACAACATAGAATCATATTTGGGCTTTTTTCCTTTTCATTGATTTTTTTTTTCCCCTCAGTGATGATTTTCCAACTTTTTGTCTCTTAGCTGTTATTATACAGACTTAGGATTATTCAAATGTTTTCTATTTTCATGATTAACTTTTATTAGTAAACTATAACAACTGAAGTCTTCAATCCTCGTACTGGTTTAAGAAGATGAGGAGCTTTTTTATTTGAATTACTTTTATAAAGGAAAGCAAGTCTGTGAATATTCCGGTGAATATTCTTTAGTAACTAACTTTAGGGTAGTTTTCAGGTTTTTCTTAGTACTTCTCCAGCTTAATTTTCCCATGCTTTGTCAAATTTTGTGGTTAATTTGGTGACTATATCCTGCCTTATTTAGAATGTTAGAAAATTGCCTTTTATAAGTGCTCAGTTTTGGTCTCTAGTTTGAAGGTACGAGGACGTACAGACTGCTGATAAAGGAAGACAGCACCCCTTTGTCCCAGCTTTTGTGTTAGCAACAAAACTATTCAGTACTGGTTTCTTTGTAGGTCCCAACTAGAATTGGTCCTACACTTCTACATAAGTGTTTCATATTTGAAAGTAAGGTTTTGGATGTGATCAATCACTACAGAAGTGCTGAATGTATTAACTCGCTGCCGATTGTATTTCTAATTATTTCATGTTTGCAGAAATGTAGCACTTGTCCTCCAAACTTAAAGGTGTAAGATGGGGAAAGGTGAACCACATTTTCAAGTCACAAATGAGTGAAATTATTTTTTTCATTTTGGAATTCAGATTCCCGAAAGGAAATTTCACCGCCCAAATCCCACATACTTCTTAGTCTTTTACAAGCCAACAGACTGACATAAAGATTGTCTGCAGTTCCTAAGATCTAGCACATATACAAAAATAAAACTTTATAAATTAAATTTCGGTTTTTCTTTTATTTATTAAAATAGGATTTCTACCCCCCGACACACGTTGCTGGGGGTGGAACCCAGGGTTTCAAACATGCTAGGCAAGTGCTGTACTGCTGAGCCACATCCACAACTCTTGAATTTTTTTAAGGGGCATGTTCATGAGACATTTATTTGTAGATCCAGTGTTCATATCTAAGCAGCTGAATATCAAGCTGTGATTTTAAGTCTGAAAACAAGTCACCTGTGTTGAGTGAAAATTTGAGCTTAGCATTTCATCTTTTCAGTGTCTGAAAAGTAACCTTTATGCTTCCTTAAAATTGGATTATTTCAAGGGTTACTGCTAAAGAAAGGAATCCCAGACTAGGCATGGTGATGCACACCTTTGATACCAGCACTTGAGAGACCCTGTCTCAAACAGACGAAAAAAAAAATCCCAATCCTCACGTGTCACTTTACTGCTTTTGAGACAGTCTGTGTAGCATAGGGTGGCTTCAAACTTGTGGCAATCCTGCTGCTTCCACCTCCCAGTTACCAAGTGCACAGCTAACTTTTTTGGCATATGCCTATGATCTCACCACTTGGGAGGATCAGTCCAGTCATCCTCAGCTACATTTGAGGCCAGCCAGCCTGGGCTAAAAAAAAATGCTATCTGAAATAACTATAGAACTAAATCTGATATATAGTGCTGCTTTTTGGAAAATACTTTTTAAGTTTGATTGAATTTTAAGAACCAGTTGAAGATCCGTGCGTGGTGGTGCATGCCTTTAATCCCAGCACTTGGGAGGCAGAGACTGGTGGATCTCTGAATTCAAGGCCGGCCTGGTCTACATAGTGAGTTCCAGGCTAGATGGGGCTACTGGGAGACCCTGTTTATCTTCAGGGGAATTGGGGTATTTGCATATATTTGCGATGTCTTGGGTATGGCACCTTAGTTTAAACACAATTCGTTCACTTAGATACCCTAAATGCACAGCCTGAGAATAATCCCATCTAGTATTTGTAATGGCTATGGCATTTTGCCTTGTGGTTATTTGGGATCTGGTTTTGGTTTTTGGTTGGTGTTTGGGTTTCGGTTTTTTTTGTTTGTTTTTCACAAGGCTGGGGATTGAACCAAAAGCAAGCACGCTACCAGTAAGCTACAGCCACAGTCCAGAAACTTGACCATTGCATAACAAATCTCAAGCCCGTTAAAAAAAACATGCTCCAAGCTGGACATGGCTGCGAATGTCTTTAATCCCTGCACTCCATCTACATGTACAAAACTCGGCAAGAATGGACTGGGAGTCACTTTAGCTGAGGTACAACAGGTGCTCAGATTCTGCTCCTTGGTACTGGAGAACATACAGGGTCTTGCCAAGTCAAATGGAAGAGCCCATAAGCAAAATTAACTTTCAGGAACATTTCATGGCAAAATCTGGTAAATTTTGTGGTAAATACCTTCTAGCATTTGGAAATGGATTTTGTTGTGGGCTTTTCTCACATTGCTTACTTCCCATTACCATAGAAATCCTAGTTTTATGTACTTGAAAGCAAAGCAGACCAGTGTAAAAATTTATGAAGGGCTTGATGGACCGAGACCTTACTACCAAACAGGTCAGGTGTCATATAGCAACCCTCTGGGGGAGGTTTTGTGTCATAGCCTCCAGTTCCCACCAATGGTATGACGCTGCCCCTGTGCTGACTTTCTAACACCTAAGGTATTCAGCTGCCCTGGACTCAGCTTTGCCCTGGTGCGAAGCTCTCCTATGTTTATATATAGCCCCCCTCCCCAAAATGAGGTGAGGGGCAGGGTGGCACTTAACCAGATAGTAAGAACTGGGTTCATATTCTGCTTGGATAGATTTTAAAAGTTGAAAATGGATGCTTGGGATATTAATTTTTTTCACAAGAGCTCTTTGGAGTGCACATGCATGAGGGTATGTGTGTGTGCACGCGCGCTGCAAATTGAACCTAGGACACTGCATATGCTAGGTGTGCTCTGTCACCAAACCCAAGCCCTTTTGTTTCCGTGGTGGTTTTGATTATTTGGGGTTTTCTTTTTGTTTTTTGAAACCGTGGTAATTCTTTTACCATAGCCTAAGAAGGAGGCTGAAGAGTAATAGTTTATATCATAGCAAAGCTAATTTTAACACAATTTTTACATTTAAGTGAGTGGGATTTTTATTGCATTTTGTTTGTGTTTGAGGTGGTGGAGGCATGTGCATGCCATGGCACACAGATGGATGTCATAGGACAATGTGTAGGATTTGGTTCTCTCCTTCCACCATGTGGGTCCCAGGGATGGAACTCAGGTTGTCAAAGCTTGACAACAAGCACCTTTATCCACTGAGCCATCTCATTTCAGTCCACAATGAACTGAAAATATAAAACTAGTTGGGTGCCCTGGTTTGTGCCTGTAATGCCAACACTTGAAAAGCTGAGACAAGAGGATGGCTGAGTGTCAGGGCTGCAGTATAATACCCTGACTCAAAAAATGTGCACACACAAAGCCAGAATCAGAACACATGTTCTTCTGAATCGCCTACTAAATACTGATGTCTGATAAGGTTGGTTTAAAAACAGTTAAAGGGGCTGAGCATGGTGGTGCAGGCCTGTAGTCCCAGCACTCGGGAGGCAGAGGCAGGTGGATCTCTGTGAGTTCAAGGGCTGCCTGGTCTACATAGTGAGTTCCAGGCCAGCAAGGGCTGCAGGGAGACCCTGTCTCAAAAAAAGACAAAAAAAAAACAAAAACAAAAAACAAAAAAAACAGTTGAAGGGAGGCAAGATGGCTCAGCAGATAAGAACACCTGCCTCCAAACCTGGCAACCGGAATTGGATCCCCAGGACCCACATGGCCGTGTAGATGAGCCTGGCTTTGAACAGTAAATTATGATTTAAAATTTTTTAATTAAATAAGTAAAAATGGCCTGAAGAGATGTCTCTGGTTAAGAGCACTTGCAACTCTTTCAAAGAACCTGGGTTTGGATCCTGGCACTCACATGGCTACTAACAACTGTCTGTAACTCCCATTCCAGGGGTATACAATGCCCTCTTCTGGCCTTTGTGGGCACCAGGAATGCATGAGGTACATATATACACCAGCAAATTGCTAATACACATAGAAAATATTTAAAAATAAAAAGTTAAAACAACCTGTTTGGCTAATGAATAGGAAAAAAGGGGTTTATTTCAGTATTTTTAATTTATTTACTGATACATGAACTATATATAGCATTACATTTTGTGATTAGATTAAAAATGAAACAATCTCTTAGGAAGGTATAGTCCATATTTTAAATTATACTGTGTGTGAGGCCAGGCATGGTGGCCCATGCTTGTAATCTCAGCACTTGCAAGTTAAAGACCAGCGTGGTCTACATAGTGAAAGTGGCATAACAAGACCCTGTCTGAAAATGAGTGTGTGTGTGTATGCATCAGTTTCAGCAGTTCCTTCCATTTAGTGTGAAATTTGTTAGTGACAGCTTTGAAAACTGGTCACTCCTTTTTCACAGCTCTTGGTTTTGAGCCTCATTTGAAAATAAGTACATTGAAAAATCTACTGTTGGGGTGGAGAGTTGGCTCAGTGGTTAAGAGCACTGGTTGCTCTTGCAGAGGACCCAGGTTCAGTTTCCAGCTAACAACATGGCAGCTAACAACCGTTTGTAACTCCAATTGTGGGGGATCTGACACCTTCTGGCCTCTTCAGGCATTGCACACGTGGGTACACATATATAAAACATTCATACACTAAAAAGAAAAAAGGGGGAAGTTCAGTCAGTTGGGGAAAGCATTTT